TCAGTCGCGTTTTATAAACTGACCCCGCACCACAGATTAGACCACATCACAGTGGCATGAACCTGGAACTGGATGGTCTGACTGGTCCTGGAGTTCCTACAGCCTGCTCTGCAACCAGGGTCATATAGAAAGAGCCACACAGGAGTGGAACCAGGATTCTAACATTGCACCTTTTAGTGGAAAGTGGAGAGCACTAACTTTTAGCATTACCGTGAGAGGGAAAAGTAAAAGGAGACAGAAGAGCCTGGTTAGCAGCATTAATATTATTATTCTTTCACTGTTTTCCTTTCAAATGTATAATGTTGTCCCCCTGTGTTGTTTGTACATGCTGTGTTTTCCTTTCAAATGTATAATGTTGTGTTTGTACATGCTAATGTTTGTGGACTTTGACTGGTGCTATGTTCTTTTTTTATGTACAACAGGTCAAAAGTTTATTTAATGACACATGTCCCATGGTGCACCAGGCCTCCAAAAGCATCTGTCACCAGGGGGAACAGTGGAACTAATTTGTCTTCTGGAGAGGGAGAAGGCCTTAATCCTATCGATGAAAAGAGAAAAGTCCAAAGAAAGATGGACATACAAGGGGAAAGATGATGAGGAGGGAGTGACAGCATGGAGAAGAAGGAGAGGAGGAAGAGGGAGACAGTAATCCTGTCTTATTCACTTAGTGTTGTGCTGAGGGAGCAGGACACTAAGAGGATTTGGGACATTCTTTAAATTAGATCAGTAAGAATAACAAACTGCGAGGAGAGGTGGTGTAGAGGGAATGAGGGAGCACACTAAAAGAAGTGGTGCAGAGGAAGGACCAGATGACGGAAGGTGGCATAAGACAGGGAAACAGGAGAAAGCAGAAATAGATGAAATAATGAAGGCATAGGTGTGAGCCACCCAGGAACACTGAAATGTTTACAGGAAAGGCTTCAATCTATGATGTAATCACACTAAAGAATTCATACCTGTGAAGCACCTGAAAAAAAATTCAGTCTCCGACCATATTTGTGCTTAACTAGCACAAAGTTCCCCTGTAATCCAGACAACTGTTTTATCATTAATCTGAGGCTCTAAACTCTGACTTTTACCATTAGTGATATTAACTAGGTGTTAAGTTGTAATCTGCAGTAAAGCCCTTAGCAGAAGTATATGCAGGGGTTGACAGTTGCTGGTTGATCCATTCATACTGTAATACTAATCCTGTTACCACTGCTACCTGCAGATCACACTGCACTGCTGTGTGATTTAGCAGCATCACTACAAAATTACAAATCTTACTTAATGATTTGTGCAAATTCCTTTAAATTTTTTTTAAAAGGCCTATTTTGATGTTGACAGATATATAGTAGCCATAAATGCCTTGCAAATCAGATTCTACAGAGATGTTTATTTAATTGATTTTAAGTGTAGATAAACTTTTTTATGCTAATAATAATTTACTTTATCTTGAAGTAAATATTTAAAGGCAGAAAATTGTGTATTCAACATGCAAATAAAAGTGTCTTAGCGTGTGTAACTGCCATTATCATAACACTTGTTTGCTTTTTTTCCTTAAGGGAATTAAAATAAAAATAAAAAAAATTTAACAATATAAAGTTTTGTTTTTTATCTGCTCAGCTCATTGGTCTGCTGGGGAAATATCATATTCTTAAGATCCTCAACAGAACACAAGGGTTAACTCAAAAACAACAAACAATCCTAATTTCAGACGTGGAAACATTTCTGTTCGATTCCGAAACCATCCGTGTAACCAAACAGTACTCATTCTTATCATTGTGAAGGGCACTGTAATGTTATTTTAATTAACATTATATATTGTATAATATCCAAGAAGTTGTGTATTAGTTTCTTTCCTTCCTCTTTTCTGTTTATTTCAACCCAAACAAAATAAAATTTGTTTATAATTTTGTGGTGTTGTCCATGTAGTTGAAATTGGCAATAACTTTCTGTTTACATGTTTATGTATGCATGTATTTGAGTTTGCATTTGTAAATATGTGTTTGATCGTGTGTATGTGTCTATGACTGTGCCTGTACATGTGTGTGTGTTTGGGCACGTGCTCGGTGCGTGTATGCTTGATGACATTGGGATTAGGAATCAATTAAGAGGAAACTGGACTGCAGACAGGCAGAGAGAGGGAGGAAAAGGGGAGGAAGAAAACGGGGGGTGATGGCGAAGCTGGTCAGCTCTGGTGGAAGCAGTAGCCTGTGGCATGATTACCGTGTGCCTCCAGAGTAGGTCGGCCACCAGCTTGCTTGTAGGGGATTAAAGAGAGGAAAGAAATGAATCATATTTCTAAGTCTTGAGTTTATGTGAGTCTGTTTCTCTGCGCTTCACAGTCCATATGTTGCTGCACCGGAGCACACTGCCTGCATAGGAGCGGATCTATATATCTGTTTGTCTGAATCATGTTGAGTTGAATCTGTCCATAAAGATCTGCGTACAAGTGTAATGAACACCTACTGATGCCTGTTAGTGACAGCAGTCTGCTGCACTTTGTTAACGAACTTTTAGGCTGGGCAGTGTTATGCTGTGTCACAATGAGGCTGAGACCAACTCTGTGTTCTAAGGATAAAACCCCATCAGGAGGCAGAGTGTTACTGGGCAGCCTGAGGAGGAAAAAACCAGTACAACTAAGGCTGTTTATAGCATAGTGTAGCAATAATCAGTACTGAATTTGATTTATTTCTCATAGGTGTGTTGTTTCACTCACCATGGGCTGATAGCATGGCCTAAAGTTGTTTCACTCACCATGGGCTGATAGCATAGCCTAAAGCCTTTCATCCATTGCGCTTCTCAAAACCTCAGAGGAGCTGGCCCTCTGTCCTATCGGTGGCAGGAACATGCAGAAACATTCAATCTAAAATAATCTGCCCATCACTTGACCTTCAGTTTGGGACTGGTAGGGCAATGGGATTCAGTATTATGGTTAGTTCTAATTTGTTTTCTGTCCTCTCTGCCCTGCTCCCTCTCAGCTCTGCCTTATACCCACTCACCCTCTTGTATGGATTAGTGGAGTGCTCCCAGAAAATGACTCCCAGTCTCCTCTCTGCAGATGTCCAACACTCCATTTTCTTTCTCCTGTTGCAGCCCAGAAGGCCAGAGATGTGAAATGATAGCAGATCAGAGGTGAAGCACTACCTTGATTTGACAGTGATGGCCACTGCTCGGTGATTAAACACTCAAATCAAATGACCACAGAGCATTAATGAAGCTGTTTAATGTCTCAAAAACATTATAGCTATTTAGCACGATAGTGGTGAGACTGGGCAAACACAGGAAACAAATGAAATATACAAAACAACACATCAGAAAAATAAGCAGAAAAGTGATGCAACAGATAATAAATGATTAGGAAGCATAAACAGCATTGCATCCTATTACTGCTGCTTTTATTGGATAACCCCCTGAGTCTGAGAAAGAAAGAGGAAGCAGACATTTTCTAGAAATTAAGAAAGAGAAAGATTCTGGTAGGTGAAGCGTCTGTGTAACAACACATTACTGATCCCAGACTTCATTTCATTTTTAAGTTTTAATATTTACACAAAGAAAAAATCACAGAAGTATTTTAGCAATGCCCATGTCAGCTGAAGACATACTATTAATAATGATAATAATAATATGAACCTCAAAACAAATTACCACTATTTTTACTTAAACAAATAAAGAAACATAATATTCTTTAAATCTAATACAAAAAAAGGGTCAAATGATGCATGAAACACATAAAGTGGTATCCATCATATCTATACAGGTGGAGAGAGGCACCGAACAGTGTGTGAAAAGGGGGAGGGCACCCCAGTCCCTTCCCTTTCTCTGGTGCAGTCTTCTCTCCCATCAAACACTTCAGTGGAGCAGTTTCTTGGCAACAAATTTCATTTGTGGATTCAAAAGCTGCTTCAACAGGCTGCTAACCTCATGCAAACACTATAAGATGGAGTGTGTGTTTTGGGTGGGTGGATGGGGTGGGGGTGCCCGGCTGCCAACAGCCACAAAGTGGCCATTGTTGCCCAGATTCACTGGAAGTGATCCTATTAAACTAGCAAAGTTTGAGGCATTCTGCTAACGATTACAACCACGCTCAAAGGCAACAGATTTGTACTGCAGTCACTTCAGTGACCAACTCCATCGTCTCTGCTTGTATTACACCACAGGCTGCAGAGGGTCGGTATCATACAAGGCTAATGTCTATCTGCTATACAGCTTGAATGAGTGACTGCCCTGTAAAGACACCTTTCATAGATGTCAGTCTGAATTAGTGGAGTTAGTTTGACTCAAAGTTTTGGGTCGGTTCACTGATGAAAAGCAGCTTTACAAAAAGAAATTTATCACAGAAAATACAAGACTAAATCTAGTAGGAAGAAGTAAACATAAGCCTGGGAGTTCTTCAGTTTTTGTTTTTTAACATGTTGATTTCAAGGCTATCGATGCAATAAACCTGTGTCAGTGAAAGTTTTGTTGTGCTCTAGAAAAAAAATAAACTTTTGCTTTAAGTTTCACACATTTCAATAGCAGTCAAACTAAATGATGCATTCAGTATGTGACAAGTGGCCTTTATTTATTGTTTATGCATGTTCACTGTTATACTGTATTTAAATCACATCAATTTCCACCTTGTAGTCCGCTAAGATGGAGAATAGCTATTGTTCTTTATTACTGATTTGATTTTATTGTATCTCATTTTCCTTTTCCACAGTTATGCCTTAATTTCAAGGCCATTTTCAGTTGTTCAGCTTAGAAACACAACTGAAACACAACTCTCTTTTGTTACCAAGCCAAGCATCAACAGATCAGTTTACTTCCACATGTTTTTCTTAAGCAGCAAACACAAAGTGAGTTTCAGCTGATCAGTTCTTCAGCATATGTGATGAATTGATTTCTGTGTCCCAAGTCTTCTTTTTACCTAAAACACACTAAATGTAATCTTAGGTTAGTCACCCTGGTTCAAATTTGCTTGATTTCTCACTTCTTCCCCTATACCCTTCTCCAAACCTCCCACTCCTTGTTATTTACAAGACCTGGAACTTCCAGGAATTCTGGTCTTTGTAGTCCAGACAGTCAGCAGCATTGAAATTGAATTTCCAGGCAGTTTGGTCCTTGTAGTCTAGACAGTCGACAGCTCCAAAGCCTAGTGAGGCTGCTGTGTAGCCCTGAGAGGAGAGTGAGGCGGGCGACTGACTCAGGGGCCCACCCATCGAGGAGGCTGTGATAGGGCTCAGGGCTCCTCCGGTGCCTGACAGCTGTGGGTGCATGGGGGACAGGTAGGCGCTACAGTCCAGGCCAGTGAAGTAGGAGGAGGTGCCTGCGTAGCTTTGGCTGTAGGCTGGGGCCTGGGTGTAGGTCATTGGGTAGGTGGTGGTGCGCTGCATGCAGGGAGTGGTGGAGGCAGACAGCGGGTCTGGCAGTGGAGAGATGGACGCTGGGCTCCAGATGGACACTGTGGTACTAGCTGAGCTGGAGCTGGGGGTGATGGCGGTGCCTGGAGGAGGGGGTGGAGGGCTGTAGGGTCCATTAGTGGGGTTGGCACTGGCCTCAGTGGTGGCTTCACGAGAAGGGGATGCCTTCTTTTTAGTGGGCCGTGGTTTGGACTGGCCTGTGCTTTGCTGCTGCTGCTGGCGACACTTGGCACGGCGGTTTTTGAACCAGACCTGGAAAGGCAGGGGAGCATATGACAAGAAAGGAGGTTGATTATAAAACATGCACTTCATTATCAAATCTACTGCTGCACAGCAAGAAATTAAAGTGGTAAAGATATACTGTCAGAAAAGTGCTATTTCTTTATATTTTCTTTCCTTTTCTCTTAGCCACTCCCTGTAGCTCTCCCTCTCTCTCATATACACAAGTTCTGCTGCAAGTTCTTATACTGTTGGCAACTTACTAATAAAATACTCTATATAAAATGGGCTACCTGGACTCTGGACTCAGGCAGGTTGATCTTGAGGGCCACCTCTTCTCTCATGAAGATGTCTGGGTAGCGCGTTTTGGCAAACAGAGCCTCCAGGATGTCCAGCTGTGCGCGCGTGAAGGTGGTGCGCTCACGACGCTGTTTGCGTGGCGTGTCTACAAGAAAGAAATCGATTGTGCATAGGTTGTTTTTTGTTAAAATGTTGCGCCAAAATTATGTTAAAACCCTTGAGAAATTCTGCACACAAACTGCCAACCAGATTATTAAAACACCCCAGTGTATTATTAAAATGTTTTAACGACTTCCACAGAATAAATGTTTTGTTAATGGCCTGTGACCAGGTGAATCATTTTTTTACTTTCTCACAGCACACGTAATAAAACACAGCTTAATGTGTTTTCCATAGATACTGTTCCAGAGAACATGTCTAGCAAACAGATAAAGTTTAATAAAGTTGGTGGATAATTTTCATAGGACCATATTTACATCTATACCCAAAGAAAATGGGGAAATATTTTTTTAAATGTATTGATTGGTGCATTTTATTGGATAAATAAATAATAAATAAAATGATATTATAGTTTTATCTTTGGTAGATGAAACAGTTTGAATCGAAATATAGAAAGTGAAAAAACGAGCTGTATCTAATTTATTTTTAAATTTTGTGCTAAAACTCCTTTGAGTCTGCAACCAGAAGGCCAAGATGTATGATCCACCTTCACTTATAAAACCTGGCATCATTTCACCATCAGCTCCCTTGTCCCTTGTCAGGTCGCGTAGCCCAATCAAACAATATGAAACAATATCACAGAGAAGAAATGTTCATTAGTGAAAACAAATTATGGGACAAAATTAAATACAATGAGCATCCTTTGGTAAATAGGTTACATGATAAAAGCAACAGACTGGAGTCTGGTTTGCTGTTAAGTTTGTGTGAGAACAGACTGCGTCTCCATTCTCACACATTTTTATTGTTTTGACTCTGTAATCCACTGAACTTAAAGGTCAAGTGAACACATGTTCGGATAGCTGAAGAATCTGAGACTTCTGTTCATCCTCACAAAGCACAGCCGTACACCCAAACCTTAAAAAATGACATACAAGTGAAGTGGTCCTGTTCACTTACAGCTTTAAGCGAAAGAAATGACATTTTCTGTGAACTCCTCCAGTTTTATCATTTTAACATAAACCTTTTCACAGTGATGAAACGACAGGTCAAAATGGTTTTAAAACACATGGTGAGAAGTCGAGGATTTTACTTACTGGAATATCCAACGGTGGCGGTGTGGAGCAGATCCATGCCCGGGCCGGACAGCGTTAACCCGTTCACGGCGTAATGGGGCTGTTTAATGTAGGACATCATGCCTCCTGCCAGCTTTAAAACACTCCCTCACTCTCTCAGGCCGGGGGCCGGGTCTCCTAGCTAGACTCCAGGGGGTATCTCTCTCTTTCTTTCTTTCTATCTCTCTCCCTCGCTTGTTTTTTTCTGTCACTCCCTCTCTTTCTGTTTTTCTTTTACTCTCTGTTTTTCTTTTACTCTGGGTTGTTTGTCATTTAGTTGCTGTTTTTTGAGTGTTACCCTCTGGCCTTCTCGTCTAATGCTGTTGTAGGCTGCTCTGACTTAGAGCCACAGAGTCAAGCCCCTGTGTTTCCAAGCAGAAGTTAAGGCGGTACGTCTTCACACCTGTTTACACCTGACGTCTACAAACGGCGGATTTATGGAACGGCTGTGTATTTTACGCTTTACTTGTGCAAATATGAACAATAACAACAACTAAAACCAACTCGACTATAAATTGAAACACAAAATAGATGAATGATTAAGTCTAACTAAGTAAGGACCCGTGGTGTGATTCAGTTTTTCCGTCCAAATCGTGTGTAATTGGTATGCGCACCGACGTCTCCTGGCGAAGAATGCCAAAAGCAGCAGTTCAATCTGATGGGTGCTGAAAAGTGTAGCTGGTCCCCGAGGAGAGGATGTGGATCTGCAAGGTGGACAAGTGAGGCGAGCAAGAGGAGGCTGGCTAATTAGAAGTAACTTCTTACCCAAGTAGACACCCAGAACCCTCCCTCTCCCTCGCTCTCTTTCTTTTTTCTCTCCCTCTCTCACTCACAGGCGGGTCCACGTAAACACACGCACGCACACATACCGTCATTTTGCATTCATGTTGGACCTGCCCTGTGTTTAAGAAGATTATATTATGCTTCTTATGGTGTTCCAGGGTTTGATTTGAAATGTTCCTTATAGTTAAATGTTTTGACTTCTGCAACTTTTTGTTGCAGCAGCAAATACTTGATGATATGTTGTTGATATCTAACTAAAGATTCCTTTTAAAAAGAAAAAGAAAAATGAAATGGAGATAGAATTCAAGTTTGTTCCCGCTCACAAAAGCGCCTGACAATTATGGTGAATGGTGATTGTATGATTTTTTTTTACTTTAAGAGAACCTCATATAACCCCCTTTCCGAGTTATTTCCTGGAAGTATATTTTATTATTATGAACCATTTTCGAAACTGGCCTCCTAAAATAATCAGACACCCCTGCCTGGGGGCGGGGGCAGAGGCAGAGCACCCTAAAGGCGACGGAGAGGGGGGTACAAGCCGGATTAAAAGATGCACAAAGACCACGTTGTTCTGGTATTAAATCCCCTTCTGATCCCCAACATGCTCCCCCCGGCTCATTCATGCACTCATTTACTACAGTCAATAATAATAATAATAATAATTATAATAACTTTGGTAGAGGACGTCATATTACACGTAAATATTATCATGTAAACATCTGATATCAAGCTAATTTATGGAGAAATTGATAACATATCCGTGGGATTATATAGGCCTAAACTATGAAATTATCCTAGAAACGAAACGGGTAACAGTTAAGCCAATACACTCCTAAAATAAAATGTATGGGGTAATAAATCAATTGATATTTACACTAAAATGTATGGACCCATTAGGTTGCATATGGCATGTTTTCTATTATTTTTTATTAACTAAAAGCATATTTTATATTTTAGCTTCATTTTTCTAGCACAAAATCATGGTTAAAACGCCACAGCTAGTATGTGAAGGTTATTTTCTGTTACTGTGTTGTTCCTTCTTACACCATAGTGCAGGGAATCTTAATTACCTCAGACACCTCTGTGTTTTTGCCAAACTCAACCTGTACTTTCAGACGCTGAGCTGTGCGTCTTCTCTCTGGGTTAGTTTGGCCTGTGCCATCTGTGACGTTTATCTATGGCAGCAAATCACTCCGACAGTCAGGTCAGTTAACGATGGAACATTCTTTATTGGATACAACAACAGAAGACAGGAAGTGCCTTGCTTCTTTCTGTCTAGAAACCCCGGGGGTCTGCCTAACGCACATGCGCAGTAGAATAACTAAAATATATTCACTTCATGTGACATCTCCCCCCTTTTAACAATGGGAAAACAACACATCAACCCTCCTGTTTAATGCTTCCACACTTTCACCAGGGAGTTGGGCTCTGGAGTGAAACTTGGCACGTTCATAGATAACGTTACGTTTTGGAATAAAATGTTCATCGAACTTAGCCATCACTACAGCGTAGTTATCGCTGTCTCCCGCGCTGCTGAAGGTGAATGACTTGAAAATGTGCTCGGCCTCCGCTCCCATTGAATAAATCAACGCATTTACCTGCACCGCTTCATCCTCCGCCGTTAGCAGGGAAGCGACTCTATACCTGGCGAATCTCTGTTTCCAGTCCGGCCATGACTCAGGCATGGAAAAGTCGAACTGCTCCGGCGGGGAGAACTTAGCCATGGCGATGCACACTTCGGTCCGTTCAAAACAAGAAAACACAGCTCACGTCCAAAAGCCTGGCCGCTGCACGGGTCTTTTACTTCTGACACCATGTGACGTTTATCTATGGCAGCAAATCACTCCGACAGTCAGGTCGGTTAACGATGGAACACTCTTTATTGGGTACAACAACATGAGACAGGAAGTGCCTTGCTTCTTTTCTGTCTAGAAATCCCGGGGGTCTGCCTAACGCACATGCGCAGTAGAATAACTAAAATATATTCACTTCACGTGACATCTCCCCCCTTTTAACAATGGGCAAACAACACATCAACCCTCCTGTTTAACACGTACATTTCTCCCTCTATATTCCCTTTTTGTTTTTTTTTGTGCATATATATATATAAAAAACTAAACACAACCGTAACTGGCTAAGGGTGTGGGTAGACTACCACAATCCCTAGAGATGGGACAGGGATTATTCTGCCCTTGTGAAGTCCCTCATCTCTACTAGCTAACATACCTAGGGTTTGGTTTAACAGTCCTCCCAGACCTGGTGACAACTTTACTCTGGGTTTGGGGGGAACCAGGAGGTCCGGCAGGAACATTACTCCTGGTAGCACTAGAATACTGCCCTACTGGCCCACACTGCTCATTTGGATCATTTGGCTGAGAAATGTCCATCTCTAGGGGAAGATCAGTTCCTGATCCCCCAGCCCTACTGGCCCACACTGCTCATTTGGATCATTTGGCTGAGAAATGTCCATCTCTAGGGGAAAGATCAGTTCCTGATCCCCCAGGCGGATATGGCGCCGATTCCTCCTGGGCGTACCGCCACACCCAGTCTCCAGGGTGAAGGAGCGCGGTGTGGCCTCCTGGCGCTGCACCGTCGCTGTGGTCGTCCAAACTTTTTCCTCATCAGTCTTTATTCTAACTCTGTCGCCTACAGACAGTGGGGGAAGAGTTTTGGTGGAGTATCTGCGGTTGTAGTATTTCTCGTAGCACCGCTTTGCTTTTGCATCATTCATTTTAACAGTTTCAAGATCAGGCCACTTCGGCAGCAAACTCTCTTTTAGTACTGGAAGAGTCGTGCGGATTTCCCGACCCATCAACAGCCTGGCAGGGCTTTCCTTCGTTGGCTCTGTTGGTGTTGAGCGATAACTCAGTAAAGCTAGGTCGGGGTCGTCTTGTTTCAGAATCCACTTTGCTGTCTTTATGGCTCGTTCGGCCATGCCGTTGGATTGTGGGAAATAGGGGCTGGAAGTGATATGTCGGAATTCACACTTATCCGCAAAGCATCTAAACTGTTCTGCTGCAAACTGAGGGCCGTTATCAGTCATGAGCTCCTCTGGCATTCCAAAACGTGTTAAGATGCCTCCCAGTTTCCGTATGATGGTGTCTGAGTTAGTCTTTGGCAAATCCAAGATTTCGAGCCATCGGGAGAAGTAGTCTATCATGACTAAATAGTGACAACCTTTGTATTCGCACAGGTCAACAGCAAGTTTTTGCCAAGGCAGGTCCGGCAATTGGGTGGTGATCAGTGGTTCTCTACTCTGGCTCGGTCTGTGG